CCCCCTCAGGGCTGTGGGGCAGTGCTTGAGCGATGTGTCCTCAGGGGGCTGATATTTTATAGTTTGTGTCCATCAGTGCTGTAGCCTGGGGCGCAAAGGTTGACAGTAAGTGCTCTCAACACCGGTGACACTGATTCATCTGAGCCATGACACACATGAGAGGAAAAAGGGGAGGAGGATCAGTCAGAAAAGAAAAATTCAGGGCTTAAAATAATATAATTCATACAGCACACCGAATCATGTTCAGGTAGATTATACTATCGCGTAGCATCAAATTGTTTTATGTTTTGTAGGTTTAGGTTTATTTACTAAAAGTCAAAGGTTTGTACTATGATATAGTGGACTAATATGGGCCAGCCTTGGCTAGACTAGAAAGATTGGCTCGAGGAAGAGACTCCAATCTAACATGGCATTTCAATTTCTCATTCCCCGTTATGGCTGTGCTGTGCACTGCTGAGCCTCTTCTACATATATATAGGAAGGACGCCTCTGAACCCCAGCTTTCTAGATGCGCATACTAAGCAATCAATGTGTCACCTCTTCCTGACAATCCTATTTTTGTTGTATGGGGGCCGTGCTCATTTTTTCTTGTCAGCAGAAGGTAATTTGCTGTATTGTGATTCAGTCCTAAAACTTGGTGACGAGGTGTCTGATAAGTCACTACCTCCCTTCGGTACACCCCCTCACCCCCATCATCCCTGCCACAATATGGAAAATCCAAAGGTAGGACCCCAACCCCCATTTCTATCCACACCCTGCTGCACCCCCACACCTCTGTCCCGTTCTTCCTACGCCAAGTCCAACATAGTTGTATCAAGGCAGGCTGCTAAATTAGATAAGCAGGGCTGTGGTGCAGCGGCCCTGATTAATAAAAGATGCGGCATTCCCTGGGGATGGCCCCTCTCAGGGCCAAGCATAATCTACCCACAGACAATAGAGGCTGCTTTCACACAATGAACAGGAAATGGAGAGAATGAACCAATCATGGAAATATAACATTTGAACAGAACTATCCTGTGACCCTTATGCATGCATTGATGCAAATTAGGTCTTGAGAACCTTAACAATTAGTTGTAAACCTGCAGCTGACTCTAAATGTGTATATGAAGATGCATTACGTTCATGCACACAGAGATAGATTAAACAAGTTCGACAAGTTTGGGCGTTGCGCAGGACCTTACCAAATAAACTTGGTGAGTCTGTAGTTTAACTGACAACATGTAGCTTTAAACCAAGCTCTTTGAAATAATAAGGCTCCCTAAGGACTTATGTGGTACAGACAGGAGTGATATTTTCAGTAGAAGGAACATGACAGCAGATGGAAGGTGAAAGGCATCGTTATCCTGAGAGCAGAAATCTCCAATTTACGACAAAAAAAAAAAAAAAAAAAAAAAAATCGTAGAAAAAAGTCAGCCTACATTTATAATGTAAGCTAAAAATATTCATCCTCTGACAAATTTCTATGTAAAATTATTTTCATTCAGCCAAGAACTTTGTCATTGGAAATGAGACGGGCAGGTTTCATGGAAATGAATTTGTCATTTCTGGTGACACAATGCAAAAGTGAGTTTTGAAAAAAATTTTTTTTTTTTTTAAATATTCACAATCTTCTCAATAATCAGTTGGTATTTGGCACCACAGCAATTTTACTGTTCTTATAATTGTTAACGAGCTTTTTGCATGTCTTCAGTGGTACATTCACACTATGATTTCTCAGTATTTTAGATCGGAAAACCTTTTTGCCGTTACGCTAAAACTCCCTACACGTCTTCTGTCAAATTCAGTCAGGGCTCTTGCCGGGCCACTTCAAACAACTTTCATTTGAAAGAAAAATATTACTTATGATCTAAATCTACCATGAGTATAAATAATTTTGAGCTCAATAGAAAATCCATAAATATTTGGTAAAATAATAAAAAAATAATAAATTTACCTCTGAAATCAGTCTTGACTTTTCATAAAGAGAGTATTAGATACAAGCACTATGCTTCTGAGGCTAAACTTACTCTTTCTTACTACATACATATGTGTTGATGCATCTGATTAAAATATCAAAAATGACAGAAAAATGATTAATGGTTATAGCAAATTTGTAATCAGAAAATCATTCTTATGGAGGCTATTTTTAAAATTTTTTTTTGGAAACTAGGTTTTTCCCCAAAACATTTACAATAGACTAGAAGCTTGTCTGCAGAGAATAATTTTATGAGATTATTTCATACATATTTCTCCCACAGCTTTATATCTTTCTTAAGGATAATATTCCATGGTAAATTCCCATATGTAAAGCATACTGTATAAGAATCCAGAAACATGCTTTTAAATTTATACAATCATTGTAAAGAAAAGGTGCATTGGGCATCGTTTCTAGCATTTCAATTCATAAACTATATTTTTTACAATGATTTGAAGTCATAGAATTTAAATGGGATGTTATTTCATGTAACTTTGACTATACGGATGGATGCATACTTCAGAATTCACAGATCCACAAGCCTCCATAAAAACACATGCTATGGGCCCCTCTACGCATCAACATAAACTATGTTAAAAAGTTTTTTCTACCAATGGAGATCATAAAAAGCTTAATACTCAACTTTTTTTTCACCCACAAATCTCAATTTTAGCTTTTCAGAGTTGTATTCATATTTGTCACCTAATGGTTTGTTACTCAGAGGACATTATCTTTCTCATTGCTCATGTTTATCAGAGAACCAGCAGTGAACCAGTTGCCTATGGAGACCAGTGAAATCTAGGTTCTATAACTACCTGAGTTTCCTTTTTAAAGTGAGTTTAAATTGAGCATTTAAGCTGTTTTTTTAATTGCTCATCATGATGCAAAAGTGTTCTCAGAAACCTTCCTGCTAGACAGGTTTACCAGCCAAATAAGGAGCTACTTACATGCTAAACATTCACCATTAAAGTATCACAACAAAGCCTCGTTGGTGCACATCTATGTCATCCAATCAGACTGCATGCTACATTCTACCATGAACGCTGGTGTGTGATTACTGCATGGATCATGAGCACTTAAGCATTTATCTTTAAATAACCTCCACTACTGTCCCCCCTATTGGTAGTGAACAATAGTGAGATGTGTCTAATTTTCAGCAAGATAATGGTAGTCATATTGAGATGAAAAAGGTCAGGGGTTGACTTGTAAGGTTCTGATTGGCTCACAGCATCCCTTTGCCCCCCGGAGATAAAATGGAAAGTGATATTTCATTTATAACCCCGCCTTTGCTTTGCAGTTGTAGATGATGAGGAGACCTACCGCTCCAGTGATTGGAGTGTAGCCACCAGTCAAATGCTAAGCACAAAAAATTATGCCTGGGATCCCTTGCTTCAGTGGGTTTGTGTGTGTGTGTGTGTGTGTGTGCATGTGTGTGTGTGTGTTTGTGTTTCCAGATCAGGCATATGGTGTATATATTTTCTCATTCTATTTTTAATATTTAAGGATTCAAATTTTCTTTATACCCTTCCAACCAGAAAAGATTGATGGGTTTTGTTTATACATATGTATAGGATGCTGAAATGAAGTTGAACCTATCTTTGACCTTTATCTTCTACATGTTCTCACTGAGCTACAACTGTAACTCTATGGATTGGTCTAGCTTTTAAAAAAATATTCTTTGATCATTAGAATAAGAGTAGCTTTAGTCATTTCTCTTCACTTCACTAGAAGCTCATAATGAAGGTATTTTTGATATAGAACCTTGTTTATTTAGTTTCATATTCCTCAAATCACAGTACAGTTTGACATCCTGCTTGTCAGCTTGCATCTTTCTGGCCTGGTTTCTGCTCTATGTTTTTTTTTTTTTTTTTGCTTTAATATCAACCCTGAAGGCTAGATGCATCACATTATGCAGTGACCCGAGCTGTAGTTTGCACTGAACAGTTCAGCCAGTGGGAGTGGCCTGAGCTTGTTGAGGAAGCTGCCCTTTAAGGTCATTACAACGGTCATGTGATAGGCCAGTGGAGCCCCCTGAGCCATATGACAAACTGAGCTGCCAGACCAAGGTGTGTGTCTGGGGTGTTTTTCCACAAAGCATTCTATAAAAGTGTAACTGGGCTGTATTTGCCCTTTTCTCCTGCTATGTGTTCAGCCAACAGGCCCCTGAAGATCTCTTAAAAAGTGCTGATCCACAGAGCTGGGTTGGTGCTTTTGTAATCCTTCCAGCTCAGCCCCTCCTCCCCTCATGTTCCCACCGTTCCCACCTCCTCCTCTTCCCTCACATTCCCCCACTCTTCCCCAGATGACGCCTGGTGTTGGTGTGAGGGACAAGGTGGTGCTCTAATGTAGTCAAGCACTAATGTGAGCTAATTAGCCCACATTAGAGCATGACTAAATAAGGCGTAAGTGTTGCTAATTGGTCGGCAATGAAAACAATAACTGTTGTTCCTGCCTGGAGGCTCTGGGGTACTGAGCGACTGGGACACAAGGGACCCGGGGACCCTGGCACTAGGCCAGCAAAAGGCACCGGCAACATCAGTCAACTGCCTTCATGCTTGAGTCACACACCACTTGGCACCGCTGCTCTCATGCTCCCTCTACCCCACACCCACCACCCAGCCCAACAGTTACTCTCCCTGCAGCCGTCACCAGCAAAGAATAAGCTCTACATGACAAGCACAGACAAACTCAGTCTGTCTGTGGAGCCATCATACATCACAGCATTAATAAACATGAATTAGTAATGGCACAATTAGATGGGGCTGTTCTGACATTTACTGGTACAATAATGGTGTGCTCCTTTCGACAGCCGCCTTTGGCCTTTAGTGGAGCGCCAGCAGACCTTAGACATTTAGATATGATGGGTGGAATGGGGAGAACTGTCTCAGTCAGTTTGTATCTTAATCACATTTTTGGTCCAAAGGGTGTGACTCCAGACTGTGTTTTTATATTCTTCAAAAAAATTGTACAATAGTGATTAACAGTATTAGTCTGGCAGTTTTCCTTGTATAAATGCATGTACACTGTGTGTCTGTTTCCCTTTTAGGTTGCAGCCTGGTCAGTGTGTGAAGACAATATTTGAACAGCCTGACCAGCTTGAGCTGCTTTGGACCAAAGGTATGTTCGGAACAGACTGACCATCTCTGACATAGAGGCTCTGACAAAGAGTGAATAGAATAATCTCCCAGTTCTTTGAACATTCTCTATCAGATAATATTTGAACTGCTGTCATAACAATAAGACATTACCTTGTTTTTACTGTGTGGAATTATGGAGTATTTTTTGCTCTGAACTTAAGAATAACAAGAAGAAGTAATCTGTTCCTATTATCTGAAAATTTTCTTTGAAATCTTAATGTTAACTTGGGTTAAGCACAGCTTTTCTGCATGTGTGTTTTTTTATTTTAAATATGCTTTGCAAGTCAATTTGACTTATCAGTTTGATATTGATCAAAGTAATGCATCAGCACAATAAAGTTTATGATTAGAGGAGCTAAACAGCTTAACCGTGTGCCAAGTGTCTAGTGGCTTTCTCTGTTTCCCTCTCAAACCAGTAGCTTTTCATCCCTGCTGTCATTCTTCTTCTGGGTTTTACTGCTTTCCCAGGGGACTCATGTGCTTTTGTTAGCTTTTCTGTGTACACACATGGCCTAATTAGTTGATTAGTTCAGCTCGACTGGCTTGTTAATTGAATAGTAATTTATGTTTGATGTGTCTAATGAATACCCTAATTTGATGTTTGGCACTCATCCAAAGGTTTGTTTTTGACAGAAGGAATTAATCAAAAGAATGAATGAAAAGATGAAAACGACTTAGTGCGCAAATTTTGCCTTGATAGCACATGAATTAAGTCTTTGAGTGAGGTAATAATACTCATGGGTTTATCTTTGTGTTATTAAGCTGTTGTAGACAATAGGATTACCAGTGAGAATAAAGGGCAAATCATGATCAGTAACACAATGTTTTGTTTCAGGGGTCAAAACTATTATCGAATCATTTTTATATAATAATTCATGCACTGACCACAATGAGAGGCAATGTCAATCATGATAAAACAAGATGCAAAGGAAGATATTTATCATAGCGTTTTCTTTGCTTAAGAATCTTCAACGAGGGGGGAATTAAGTATTTCAGATTTGTTTTGTACACTGCAATTTTAATTAGTCAAACTATTTATTGACTTTTTGAAAAAATCAAGAATTCTTTAACCCAATTTTTAGAGTAATGTTTCTAGGGTTTCTTAGGAATCGTCTGGTGACCTTAACCAGAGAAAACATTAATTGCAGGAGGTGCATATGCTCATACACCTGTTAAGACGTTTGTTAATGTTGGCAATATAATGAAAAATGAAAAGATGAGCTTATGTTTGTTCACTTTAACAAAGCTCTTAAAACAAGAATAGCACTTCATTGTTATACTACATTGCAGAAAAAATAAAATGTACCCATTTAGTTTAACTTTTTCTTTGACAGGTAGACAGTTGAGATTTTGCATTGCATCAATATTACTGTTATATTATGCAGTGATAAAATTCTCTAATTTCAATGTATACAATACTGCAGGGAATAAATAACACTTGACCAAATGAAACACAATACTTTGCACAGAAAGTTACACCATTCTCCTTTTTCTTCAACCTTTTCTTTCACTTGTTCTGTTAATGTTTATATAGTATCCAAAAGTTTTGTGCAATTTATCATTTGACCATAATGAATAATTTTTAGTTATATCCTTTCATGATTCATAATATTTGCATTGATCAAACAAAGCTAAGGTATTAATTACTTGTCCTAACTTCAGATTCAGCTTTACGTCTTCTGCTTTACACCGTGTGCCTCATTTTCTATGTACCTGACTTAAAATTCAGCTCAAGATCTGAATTTAAATAAACTATTGCATCCTACCTCTCACCAGGAAACAATACTTTTGCATTATTATTCATTTACATTTAGTTTTTAATGAAATTTGTTTTGATTGTCTGGAAAATGCTTGACACTCAGAACATTGCATGAAGTTCTTAGTTATCTTGCTGTTGCCGAGAAGGAATAATCTATTTAAGCTTAATATGTAATTTCACCAATTCCTCCCATTCATTCATAAATATTGGTTATTATTATTTAACAAGCATAAAGACAATATTTTTTTTTAAAAGTTGTCTCATTGTATGTGTGATAAGTGTTCCAAAATTATTAATGCTCTTACATTTTTACGTTTTGTCTCATTATAGCAACAGTCCTCAGTTTACTTTGTGATAACCCAAAACGAAGTAGTGCTGAAGTAGAAGGGAAGTGTTTTCATGAATAAAAATATGACTAATATTCTATTCAGGTCTTTTTACTTTGATGCAATTAATAAAAATCTGTTCCTTATTCCTTCAGAAATCACCAAGTATACTCTTTTCAATTGGAAATGTTATGCTGCATGTATCATCAAAACCCATCCACCAATGACAGAGAGCATTATTCAGAGAAGCATTCAAGAGACTCATAGAAACTTTGGAGAAGTTGCAGACATCTACTGCTGGGAATAACAGCCAGGACTATTGTTCTTTGTGCACTCTACAAGTCTGGTCTTTATGAAAGGGAGGCAGAAAGTAAGCAATTGTTAATGGAAGGAAGTCTCCATTACTGACTGCCACAAGCCTCGAATAAGGCATTGCAAATTGCTTGGGGTGGGGTGTTGTAAAACATTGTCATAGCAGCATAATTCTGTGGGTATGCTTTAATTCACAAGCTAATGAGATTCAAAGGGTTGATTGAAAGAGCTAAGTAGTCCTGGAAGGAAATCTTTTTAGTGACTGAAACCTTGTGTATATTCTCTTTATGGCAGAACAATAACCTAAATTTACTGCAAAGACAGTTTCAAGTTATTTCTGGTGTGTTTGCAATCTCTTAGCAAATTAAGTCTAATCCAAGTTGCAATGTATAGCAATTTTTATGCTTGGCATCTCACTTGGATTTTGACTTGGGCATTCTTCCACATAAATGAGCTTAATCATTTATGTGTAATCTTCCGGCTGCGCAGGGTTGTTTTACAATTACTGAAAAGCAAAGCTGAATTCAAATACATACCATAGCTCTCAGATTTTTATTTATGTAGTCTTTTTATCCTTTTCCTTTTGGCTCACAATAATGCATCATTTGTATTGGTCTATTACACAAAATCCCTGTAAAATGCTTTGTTTGAAAGGTGACAAAATTAAAAATCACCATAAATCCTTTATCCTCTGAAATGTGCTATGTGTGTTTTTTGTTAATTCATTAGGAAAATTGTTTACAAGTGTCTCTTCCCCTTAATAAGCCTTGACCAACCTTTTTTTTTTAGGTTGGTCAAAGAGGCATGCATGAGCCAACAGGCCTTTTCATTGAGTGCTTCCACACTAGTCTCCAGAGCAGACTAGTTCATGTGCATCAAGGTCTTTCCCCAAAGTTCGTTTGAGGAATTCATCTTCCTTCAGATCCTCATTTATGCACAACACATCTTATTTAAAAAAACAATCAATGAAACTTGATTTCCCCACAGCACGAGGGAATCACAGCAAAAGCTTTTGACTTGTCCTCCAGCGCAGGGCAGATTGTGGCCTTGAACTTGTGTTGAGTCATCCAGTGAGTCATCGCTTCAGTAAATTTCCTACTTGTGTTTTAAATGTAAAGCAATCATCCAATTTAATAAATTCCCAGACAGTAAAAAGTATTCCAAAAAGCCAGCCATCCACGTGTTTACAAACCGGCAGCAATCCTGAATGTTGAAGATGGTCTTCATACCGCCATGTTTGTCTTTTGGTTATTAACATTGCCTTTACATGCTTTTGCAGTTCTTCTTCCATAATGATTATTCCTCCCTTGAATGTTAAGGATGTTTCAGGAAATGTAAGTTTTGATCATTTTGCAGCAATTAGATTTAGAGCAGCAGTGTGCTCTCAGACTCCTCCATCTCTTTTTTAAGAGTTTCTTTCTAGGAATAACAGGGAAAAAAAACTGTAGTTAGAAATAAACCTCTATGAATTTATTTATATCATCATCACTTATCATCTTATCATCCCACACAAATTTATGGAAAACAGTCTCATTTGACCTCATGCAGTCATGCACATGCAGTAGCGTACCTGTTTGTGTTACATGCTATAACAGGCCTGAACTAGAGCAGGAATTTTACAAAGTTATTCCCACTTTTTCTGTCATCATTCACTGTCTCGAAACTGTCATCAGTTTGCCGTCGCCCCCTCCCCTTTGTTAATGAGAAAGCAATTACCATTTATTTTCCTCAGTCCCAACAGCCTGGCAGCGTTTTCCGAAATCTGCATCCTCACCTGCTTCCATCTCTGCGTCCGCCTCTCCCTCAGTCTCTTCCAACCTTCCACCTCTTTTCCTTTTCACTGTGGTTGCAGACTCGCTCTCCTTCGCCATCCTCTATGCAGCCTCTCTCTTTTGCTCCTCCCACCTCTGAGCTCTAGGCTGTTCTGGGTTTTAGATGGATCACTCTCACAATGCCTGATCAATACAGGTATTGATCTGCTGGCAAAATGTTTATAAAATCATTATGGGCAACAGCAGTTCAGTGGGGACGGGAGGCGGGGCCACGAGACAGCCAACATTCCATGTCATTCGCCTGCAAGGGAGCTTGCATACATCTGATTGGCTGCCTACCTTGTGCCATGCGAAGGATAGGACTTGCACATTTTGCCAGTCTTTTATATCTTTGCTTAGTGCACAACAACTCCTCTTAGATTCAACAACACTTTCTAGATCGCAAATGTTTTAATCAGCAGTTTAATATGTGAGACATTTCACTCTGCCTGCAAAGTAATTTCAACTGCTCCCACTTTTTGTACAGTAGATTAATTTAGTAAGCAGCAAGGGACTTTAATTTATTGATTCACGTCGTTGTACCTCTGCTTTTCTCTGAGAAAAACAAAATATATAAAAAACCCAAATATGTTCTGCAGTACTCTGATTACCGCCCATTCTGTCTTCCATGACCACCCCAGAAAATTTTGTACCTGCCTTGATCCCCCACTCCTTACAACCTCCTCCTGTGCTCTGTTGTACAGCAATAACAATCTGTCGCTTTGCTTGGGAAAGACTGACGGGGCAGGCGACTCGAACACCACAACACTTC